TGGGAATGATGAGGGAAACAAATGTATAGATGTGCTTTACACAATTGATCTATGTATTGTGATGAATTTTATGAGCCCCAATAAATTGATTTAAAAAAAAATACAAGTCTTTTCAGTCTAAAGCATGAGCCTACGGAAACTGATGTTTGTAACTTTAAGAATTGTAGCACAGTATGGTTCCTATATTTGGATTAGCGTGGAGTCTCTGGATTTATCATTCACATTACTTATTTTTATAACGTTGTATTGAATTTTGACATGACACTTGGAATCCATTATTATTAAAGCACATTAGAAAACAGATTAAAGCGTTCTGATACTCAGATCGTTGTTGAGATGTACGCCATGGTGGTGTTTCTTTCACAGGCTGAAAAAGCCAGGGAGAACGTGAGATAGCATTACGTTTCGTCCTCACACCTCATTATTGTTCACATATGCGTATACATTAGTTTTCTGAAAGAGTCCCAACTTCAAACATTTTCCCCAGCAGGCTCACAAGTTATTCAAATATCACAGAAATTCCAATATTTTAACCTATTGAAATGTACATCCCCTTTCCAAATAGTGCTTCTTTCCAATGGAAATGCAGGAGAATTCCTCGACAAGGCCATAGGGCCTGGGGTGTGTGTGGAAAATCTGATTGCGTGAAATGTGTGCAGATAATAGATACAGACGGGAGACTTGTCTTTTGGTGTCAAAGGGACTCTGTCTTAGGTTCCATCGTTTTCTTAAACAGGAGACTTTTGGTTTGGTTTCTAGGCAGGCTAACTTGTGAATTTCAAAGGCCTGTTGCTGTCTGCAGCTCCTTGATGTCAAGCACAAACCCACTTAGGGTCCCAAGGGCTGTGAAGAACCTGGATGGAACTTTCAGATCCGAGTGGATGCGGGGTTGTGAATTATTTTTACCGTGCTGGCAGGCCTTCCGCTTACATAAAGCATCTTCATAGAACTGATCATTGTGTTCCCCAGGGGCTCTGTAACAAAGCAGGTGATCTGTCTTCAGGTTGCTATTGGCTCTGCCAATAGAAGGACAGGTGTGAGGTTGGAAACTAGGCAGCACAAGTGTTCCAGATAAATTCCTGGAAATCATTCAGGGAGAATAGGAGGCATCCTAATTGGGAAGAAAGAATTAAGAGGTATTCCATAATTAATGTGTGTATCCTGCAGATTAAAACTGATGGTGGTGCATGAGGAGAACAGTCTCATGAGGGCAGAGCGCACAAGAGAGATGCATTTTAGCAGCAGACACGATGGGTTTGAGTGACCCACGGAAGCCAGTGGGTAGCGTCATGGAAGACAGAGTTCTGAGAAGCACTAGAAATATGGCAAAGAAAACTTGTGGGTCATAAAATGTTGTCCACCTTCGAACAGCTAGGGTACCCCTCTTGTGCAGCACCCTTTGAATTAGCTACGTCATCACTACGTGGGCCACAACCGTTCACATCTTGGATCACGCCTCCATCGGAATTCCCTTCTACGCTCCCTATCTCCTCTGCAGCTTGGGAAGTCCTCTTTCCCTTCAGGAACCCCTCCCTGACCTCCCTGCCTCATTCTTTCTTCGTTTCTTCCCACAGCACTTTGCTATTATAAGTATCTATTTTTTAATTATACCCTGTATTATGAATAGCTGGTTTTTTGCCTATTTTTTTCCCCATTATGTTATACGATCCCCTATAAAGTTCCCATAATTGTCAAGCTTAACATAAAGTGAATGATGAACAAATGCTTTGCTGTTGTTGTCCCTCCTGTGGATTGAAACGAAATGGAACTGGATTCCACAGATCCTAATAGGATCTTCTCTTACTTGGGGTTATTAAACACAAATGCAAAACCAAAAACTCTAGAAAGAAACCCAAACCAGTTGCTGTCAAGGTGATTCCCATTCAAGGTTCTCCGTATATTCCAGAATATTTCTTTTGGGAGTAGATAAGTGGGGCCTTTTTCCCCCTGAGAAGCTTCCAGGTGCCACCTTTCAGTTATTAGTTAGAATCTCAACTATTTTCTCAGTCGCTGAGTCCTGGCCTGTTTATACCATCTAGAAGTTCCTTTTGTATTATGAAGTATTTCCTCTTACCTGTGTGCATGATTCAGAGCAAGGTCAGGCTTCCTCATTCGCAGGTAGCAGGTAACAAGCTTTGTCTCAATGAAACTGGCCACACTGGCTATATCTCCTGCAGATGCTTCAAATGGTTTGCCCAAAACTGCTCCTTTGCTGCAAAGCTTAAAAAAAAATACAGTATTTTTCTTAATATTCTTGCATATTCTTTATCTTTCAAGAATTATATATATATACACCTGCACACACTTTTCTAGAAAACAGCTAAAATATTAATATTTTAATTATAAATTAAATACATTGTTCCTGTTTGTTATTATTTGACCATAATATAAAACAAGCAACACACTTTTCAGTAGGTTGTTCCCTGTACATTGTTTTTAAAAGTATCATAATAGATTTTAAAGGAGTGCTATTTGCGAACAATATCTATTTTAAATATAAAGCACACAGTAAGCAAAGATATTAGCAGAAAACCAGGTATAAATCTTACTAAATACCAGTGCTTTTCTGAAAACCCAGCTGAGCAATGATCTAGCACACTATCAAATGTGATTTAATGTAATAAGGGGTATTGGAAGTAAACTCATAGGAGCCATTAACATGATCAGTGATGAATTTCAGTTTGAATCATATTCTCTAGGATGTTATTGAAAGGAAAGAAGTGGAAATTTATTAGAATTTATTGGCAGAGGCCACCGTATCTGAAAAACATGGCAAGAATGTGGAATTCTTAATAAAAATTCCAGGAAGCCAATGGTTTCTGGGCACCATAGATAAACGGGACAGGACAAAAATAATTAAATTTATGGGGCAACACTAAACATTAAGTGTCAATAATATGACAAGATGGACCAGTTACTTTCTTGCCATGAAGTGTCTTGTATTAAAGGCTGATGGAGCTGTAGGGACCTCACCATTTGGTTAGCGACTTTATTTAATGTATTCATTCCCCCTTTCTTCTCTCCCTTCCTTTGCTCTTTTGTGTATATATCAGGATGTGTGTGCGTGGGGTGGGGAGGCGTGGTGGTGGAGAAGGAGAAGTTTTATCAATAGAGGATCGCAATATTTGGATTTAATGCCTATTTATATGATACTTTAGCATACAATTTCTTGTATTCTTAATGCTCCTTGTTCAAAGTGACATAATTTAAATAAATTCTCCTTTTATCGATTAATTCTTGAGACTGGATGACCATTTATATTAATATCATTGTCAATTATTATTTATAAAGTCATTTAAAGATGCCTATATCCTGTCAGGAAGGAGTTTGGATCGTGCTGTGGTTAAGTGCTTCTTTGGTAACCAAAAAGCTGGCAATTTGAACCTGGGGTCTTCCGTAAAGATCAGAGCCAAGAAAACCCTTTGGGGCATGTGTTAATCCGGGTTGACTAGAGAAACCAATTCAGTGACACTCTCATGTATGTGTACGAAAGAGTATTATATCAAGAAGCTTTATATATCAGGAAAACATCCCAGCCCTGTCCACTCAAGCCCGTAAGTCTGATACTAGTTCATAAGTCCCCCTTCAGACACACGCAGCCGCATGCAATGGTGCAGAATGCAGGAAGATCGCAAGCTGGTCGATGCAAGGTTGTGTGGATCCAGTGGCACAGGGGTCTCTCAGGTCTCAGAGTGGCTGGCCAGCAGAAGGGTAAAGGCAGAGGATCGAGAGGAAAGTTCCCAGGGCCCCCTTATGAGAAGGCCATGCCCATAAGGAGGTACCATCATTCTGTGACCTGGTTGACAGGCTAGACTTCACTCCTACAGTTTTACATAGCAAGTTGACATAAAATTATATGACTACTACAGTTCTACTCTGTCCAATAGGGTTGTTACAGATCTGAATCGACTCATAAGTAATGGGTTTGAATTTCTTTATAGTCGGTTGCAAAATGTATTTCCTTTCTTAATTTACCCAGAAGCCATCAATTAAAAGATTGGGATATTGATATTTAATACTGCTAGCTTGAATTGCAAGTTATCTGATGCTATCATGTTTGCTTGGCTGCGCTATGTATTCTGAAGGTTCACATCATTTTTAAAACTCTACCAATCACACAGTTGAGAATTGGCACTTGATTCATCAACTCAGTAAATATTTGTTAAGTGTTTATTATGTGCCAAGTAAAAATTTCTGTGTTCACATTTTAATTTGTGTTAAACAGGTCTTTTAAAGATAATTTGGCTATATTTTAGTTTATCTGTAATTATCTGCTTTCTCTACTTTCTATTTCTTGCCTGTTTTCTTTGGTGTTAATTTTAAAAGCTCTATAATAGACATATAACCTATTCCTTGTTTCTCTTTCAAAACTATGTACATAGTCAAACACCAGGGCTTTCTTCTCAAATTATTACACGAACAAGAGAGTGTTAACTTATAAAGGGCCTTTACTCTTATAAAGGTTCTCAGAAAATATGATTTATAAAAGGATTTTAACAAGTTCGTAGGAACATTATATTATCATTTAATTTCATTTTCCATAAACTTTTGAAAATGTTGGAGCTTCCTGATAGATACTACAGAGAAATTCTGTACATAGAGCTTTTCAATTGTTTATTACTTTGGTGGGGAGTGAAGACTTCAATCAATGTTAAGTTTGGATGCTTTCATAAAGATTAACTGATAAAAGGGCAACACTGATAATAGGTAAAGCATATAACAGAGGTTGAGCTATTGTTCCTAAGTATCTGACCTTGTAAATGTTATTGTGATCATAAACTAATCTTTAAAAATCTGTTTATATGAAGCATTATGGTCTGAACATGTCAGCTTAGGACCGACCGCATTACCTCTTCTCTCAGTTCTATACAGAGCCACAAAAGTCTGAAAAGTGACATCTCAGAAACAAAGCTTTTGTGTGGCCTATCTCTTTACAAACTCTGATTCCATGGAAATAAAAATGAGTAGAAACTGTCTAGTTCCATTAATATCTCATAGCAGTAACATGTTTGACTTGTTTAATTGGATACTCTGAATGAAATAAGCATTACCACCCAGCCAAGTTTTAAATGCTCTAAGTTGAAGCGTCTGTATTTTATGGAATCTTTAAATAAACTCTCAAACAAATCAAGATCAAAGAAGTCAAAACCATTATGTGCTGTCTTTGACCTTCCTTTGCAAGTTATTCTCTAAAGCACAGGCATGGACAGCCTCCTTTCTACGGCAGAGAGGCCAGTCAGGGAATCGCTTCCAGGAGGACATTCCTATCATTCATGACAGGAGGCTGACCTTAAGATTTAATAATAATAAATAATCAAAGTTTAATCTATGAACTGCAAGATAAAGTAAAGAATAAATGGCTGATCTCCTAACACCTGCAATATTTTCTATTTCCAGGAGACTCCAGGCCAGAAAAGGCATAAAATTGATCAATCTAAGCGCACTAAAGAGAATATTCCATGAAACCAAACTATTAAAGATTGCAGTGAAAGATTTTAAAAAGTTCATTTCACATTTAAAGAAGAAAGCAAAGAGCCTGCTGTGCAGGTTGCATGGATATTTGTGGCAATCTTAGTTTACCAATTAAGTGCCGAATGACTGAGAACTTTACTGATTTTATCAAAAAATGTCTTATTTGCTGTGTCAAAGCAGTACATCTTTGAAAAAAAGCTTTGCAATAGGGCAAATCATTATAAAATGCACTGCAGTAAAGGGCAAAACTACAGGCACATGTAGACTTGCTTAGAAAGACTTTTAAAAATTGCAGTACAAGGGGATCTTACGGTTTGTGTAGAAACACCAACCAAAAAATAATGCAAAACTCAATATGAGCAGAAAAAACCCTCAATATTAAATATTACATTGTGAGTGCCATTCTTAAAAACATACCCACCAAACGGCTTTCTTTACATATAATTATTAATAGCAAGATTGATATTGCCAATATGTGTTTCCTTATTACATTATTGTATGTTCCTGGGGAATTATTTTGAGTGGTCTCTGGAGGGCTTCTAGAACAGAACAATAAATACTGAACATGTGGCCTTATTTGAGTTATTCAATGTCTACAAGTAAAACAATATATCATCCTCCACTCAATAATTCTTCAAGGTTTTTGAAAAATAAAAATCTAAAGTGCGAGGAAAGCTACTTATCACCTTATCACTATATAATACTACTATTAATTTTTGGCAGGTTTCCATCTATACATTTTTCATGTTTCTGAATCATAATAAAAATATACTGTATATACATGCGCAAACATAGACATATATATATATAGGATCTACACTGATTTTCCACATTTTGTTCTTTTAAATAGGTTTTCAATTTGAAAACATACTCTTATTCATTAAAAAATAATATTTCTACAATTACAACTGAGGACTTCAATAACCCCTCTCAGCAAATGACAGACGTGCCAGACAGAAAAATAATAAAAATAAATAAAACCCGAACAACAAAATCAACCTACAGGAGCCAATTGACAAATATAGACCACTCTAGCCAGCAAGAGTAGACTACACATTTTTGTCAAACATCCACGGAAAAGTTACACTAATATAGATCGTATTCTGGGCCAGGGAACTAACCTCAACAAATAAGAATTCAAATCATGTAGAGTGTATTCTCTGAAAATAATGGAATAAAAGTAGAAGTTAAGTTAAAGACAAAACAAAAACCACACGAAAAACCCCAACAGGGGACAAATAGGAACAAATAATTAAGAGGATACACAGAAGGCAAATAAGCACACGGAATGTTCAGCATTAGTGACTATTCCCAAACCTGAACCCAAGCCCCTGCCATGAATCCCCTTCTGACTCATAGCAGCCCTACAGGACAGAGTAGAACTGCCTTACAGAGTTTCTATTGCAGCAAATGTTTACACAAGAGAACTGCCACAACTCTTATCTTGAGGAGTGGCTGCTGGTTTCGAACTGCCAACCTATAAGGTAGCAGCCAAGTGCTTTAACTGCTGCACCACTGCAACTTCTTCATTAGTTATTAAAAACAAGACCCAGTGCCCTCAAATCAATTCTGAATCACAGCAACCCTATATAGGGTTTCTGAAATTATGAATCTTTACAGGAGTAGACAGCCTCATCTCTCTCTGTTTAAGCAGTTGGTGAGTTTGAACTTTCAATCTTTTGGTTCTTAGTCCAGTGTTTATGATCCAGAGGGTGGGGTGGGGGAATGTAAATTAAGAGCATAGAGAA